GTACTTGAGTGAACACAAGTGTGTCCAAGCTTTTATTACTTTTACTCCAAGCAATTATTATATCTGTTCGACAGAGACGCGTCTCCTGCAAAAGAAATTATAATATCTAATTGTTTATATGGTTGCACTGTCACAGCAATCATTGACGTCGTACAGTCAGAGAATAGCCGCCCAATCATCCCCTTACTCAGTATATACTCCAAGCAATTCTTATATCTCTTTCAGAGAGACACATCTCCTCCAAGAAAAATTATAATATCTAATTGTTTATATGGTTGCACTGTCACACGAGTCTCTCTGGAAGAGATATAAGAATTGCTTGCAGTATACACTGAGTAAGGGGATGATTGGGCGGCTATTCTCTGACTGTACGACGTCAATGATTGCTGTGACAGTGCAACCATATAAACAATTAGATATTATAATTTTTCTTGGAGGAGATGTGTCTCTCTGAAAGAGATATAAGAATTGCTTGGAGTATATACTGAGTAAGGGGATGATTGGGCGGCTATTCTCTGACTGTACGACGTCAATGATCGCTGTGACAGTGCAACCATATAAACAATTAGATATTATAATTTCTCTTGCAGGAGACGCGTCTCTGTCGAACAGATATAATAATTGCTTGGAGTAAAAGTAATAAAAGCTTGGACACACTTGTGTTCACTCAAGTACATCCATAAGTACATGTATTTTTATACGAGAAATTGCATTTTTCATGCTCTTTTTTTCAATTTTTCCGTACTTTCCCCGCAGTCTAGAGGAAAACGGACTTTACCACGTGATTCTACGGTATAAAATCTATAAGAAACCATTTGTTCCACACCATGGACAAAAATCGACCTATTTTTAATATCCTCGTTTACATCGCAAAGAGAATGACTTTTCACTTCTTTATGATTCAGGAAGTGGAGATTGCAGGCGGCGGCGATCTGATGTCTACGGTGGAAGAGTTGGACTTCCTCCCCGGCTTCGCTCTGGAAGGTTTCCCCAATCGCGACAGCATAAAATATAGAGATTACTACGGCTTGCAGAATGCGAGTACCGTGTTACGAGGCACGCTCAGGTTTAAAGGATTCTCCGATACTGTACTGGGCTTACAGTTACTCGGTCTGGTCGATCCCAATCCGCATCCGATTCTTCATCCGAACGGACCGGATATCACCTGGGTATTTTTCGAGTTATAGCGCGATTAACGAATGTCAGAAGTGAACGTTTTGTAGATCCTTTAACGTATCGAAGTAAATTATTTTTCCTAATTGTTCATCGCTTCAATTCCAGCGAGTGCTGCTGTGCAATTTGCTCGGATTGGCGAACGACAACATCTTCTACGAGAATCTGAAACAGAAATTGGCGGAGAGGATGAATTCATGGACGCGAGTGAAAGCTATTGAGGATTTAGGCCTTCTGCAAGAGGATCTGGTCTTGAAACTGAACACTCCTCTCGACACGCTCACGCATTATTTGTCGAAGAAACTCTGTTACGAAAAGAACGAACGCGATCTTGTTATATTGAGACACGATATAAATATACTTTGGCCGGACAACAGGAGAGAGTCCAGAGGGATCAACCTGGTGCTTTATGGAGATGCCACTGGACACTCTGCAATGGCGCGCACCGTGGGATATCCTACCGCTATCGCTGTCAAGATGATCCTGGATGGTGCGTAAATCTTTCTATAATTATTTATTTAATTTTTTAACTAATTATTAAAAAAGCTATTATTAATTTTCTCTTTGTATTAATTTTCACATCGCGATTAATATATTATTAAAAGAAATGTAGAACTGTCTTTTCTCTAATCAAATTATTGCAGAAAAATGTAACGTAAACAAATAGATTAAATTCCAGGATGATATGCAAAATAATGTAGAGAAACTTTCTTTGAGAAAAAAATATTAAGATAAATTATAGCATTTCTCTAAGAAAATGATGTTTGTATAAATGATTTTATTATGTATTGATTAGATATTTATTTTATAACATTCTTACGATATTTATTTAGGAGAAATCCAACAGCGAGGAATGGTGCTACCTTTCACTCCCGATATATATCGACCTATTCTCAATCGACTGAGAGCTGAAGGCGTACAGTCCTTCGAGACCTCTAGATGGCTGTGACTTATTTATCGCAAAATATTATTTCCTATGAAGATCATATGTGCATATCACACTCTGTACATCTGAAAAATAGACAGTCAATATATTTTATTATACACATGTCAATGTATAATATTTATGCATATGTATAATAAAAAGAAATAAATGTCTTGTAACAATTATATATCTGTACATTGTTACAAAAATACATGAGCTATCGTATAAACATAGTATTAAAAATTATTTTAATATAAAATATAAAAAAAAAATATCTATTGATTTTCTATTACCTGTACAATCGATCGTATGTATAGTTCCTTCATACGATTAACAACCATTTGATGGAAAAATCAAGAAGACAAGATCCTTAATTTGATATATTTAACATTTATTGATATTTTACCACCCCAATGTGGAAAATTGCTAACAATACAATGATATTTCGCTTATTGCAATCTCTTTTTGTGTCTCAGTTATTCTAATCTTAAGATATAATTAGAATGATAACACAGGAACACTCTCGCTGCTACTCGTTATGATTTGATTGAAAATGAATCGATTTTGCGCGTTGGAACAATCAGGAAACCAACTGAATTGTATCGACAAAATAATTAAGTTACAGTCGTAATTTGCATTTTATATGTCATATGGCTATTTTATTTATGTAACAAATTCGACAACATTTTGCAAGAATTGGATAAATTTAGTTTAAATTATTTAAATAAATAATTGGTGCTATTCACTGCTAATATTTTAAACCAACACAATTCGGTCATCTAAAAATAATAAAACGATAAAGCGTTTTCCGTTATTATTCCTTAAATAATTTATATACACGTGAAAAAAACCTGAAATATTTCTGCAATAAAAAATTCAATTAAAATTCAATAAAATTGAATATAGTATATCATTGGTTTCAATTGTTTTTGTTTAACGCAAATTATTGCGTTAAATATATTGAACATATTTCTGTTATCACTACAATCATTTATTTTGTCATTTGAAGCAGTGAATAGTTTAAGTTATATCGGTATTTAATGGACCTCTTGTGCGTGACATAATTTGATGTTTGCTCATCGTTTTTTAAAATTAAAAGTAAAACATTGCAATCCTCGATATTTCTGATCCGCTACAAAACCTATTACTATCACAATGGTGGTTACAATAAGTTCTAATCGGCCTTTTATGTTGCAAATTACTAAGAGAACCGTGATCGCGTAATTTTTTACAAAATATTATTTAAGCTTTTCGAGACGTAAGGGATTTACATTCTTTAAGAAAATATTCAATCGGAGCAAAAATATATAGAAAAAAATGCAATCTAATTAAACATTTTTTTTTAAATTAATTTTAGTGCAAAATAATCTTTAAAGTAATGTCTGTGCAAGTGTGTGCTGTTTAAAAAGTTAAGTTTACCTTAGACAAAAAAATAAAACATTGACGCGCTCGCACAAGAGCGATTTGTTGAAATATTTCGAAAGAAACCACCCTCTCTACGCTAATCTTCAACTAGAAATTATCTATCGATGTCATTAATTAGAAACTACGTATGATGATTTACAGTTGGCAGTATGAGACAATATAATTAACGCATTTTGCATATAATCATTGTAGTAATGTATTCTGCATTATCACTATAGCAACAGATCCAAGCCCAAGGAAGGATCTCGCTAATCAATCGTAATTCTAACTGTGACTTCACCATAAAAAAGTGCTTCCAAGCTCAACAATTGTATCGTCTCTAATATAACTAGTGATATATTACGCAACGATTAACTATTGTAATAAACTGTGACATCCTGCTCACGAGCGGTATTAGTCTATTATTGAAAAACCGTTTAGATATTACGAGTTCCAACGCATTTCCACATTCGAATAATTCGCGAAAATTTAATTTTGCAATTTCCGCACATACTCCGATCAAAATAATTATGACAGACGTTAGAAAAATTATATACGTTAATCTCTTACAATTTTGTTCATTTTCAAAATAATATTTAAAATCAGACACTTTTAGAAATTAGACTGTAATAGTGTAAATTAGCGTAAGATTCGAATGTCGAAATAATTTGCTCAAATATCGAATGGCTCCGCTTCTAAAAATCCTGCCGACTATTTTCTGCACATTTATGTGCCTATCGTGATTACAACGTCGTGAAACGCACGTAACGAGATGAAGACTGTCGCCGCGCTCGTTAAAGATACCGGATACGCTAAGAGTGTTTTTTTCACTTAGTGATAGATAGTATCTAATCGTAATATGTAATAATACTTCGACAATGTTTAAGTTTAAAGCCACGCAAATTTTATAATCTGTAGTGTAAATCTAATTAAGTGTCTTCTAAACCAGGGCAGCGTTGCCTGCAATAAGAAGAGTTATCAGCAGCCCTGACTCTAAATTTTAATCAATTGACTAGATTGACAGACTGCTACTCAGCTAGACGCCTAGCTGTAGCTCTTTCCAATTTTTTTTCTTCCTTATGTTTCTCTTGGAATTATCGCAATTAAACCGGTTTGTTTTACGCAGGTGTGTCTATTCATGTGTTGCTCATTTTCGACAATTGAAAGTCGATCTCAAACGTACCGTCCAAATTAGAAATCAGGCGCGTGTAACGTATTCATTAAAAATACGCGCAATTCGAGCCAGTGATATGACATTGCTTCAATAAACGATTTCAGCGATAGTGCAGTATCGCTTTCTAAAAATATTGTTTGTGCAAATTAAGAGTATGAAGTTTAACTTATTTCTTAACTATATTAATTATATTTTTATTTATTATATTTTTTATATTAGACTCGGCAGAGAAATAAATCGTGCTTTATTTTCCGTAGCATCCTAGATTTATATTTTACGATCGAAAGTGTTATTAACTTCAATTAACTTCATTAATCTATGCAAAATATCGTTAATCAATCATAGTCTTAAAAAAATTGCAAGTTCTATTCTATCATTTCCAATGATTTACCAATTAATATCTACTCAGTGCTTAATATCATCAATTTTTACGTTTTTTTTAGGAACATTTTGCTAATTTATTCCAAAAATTTGTTGTGCCACGAGTGCATCTTACGTGTTGCATCTTACGTGTCCTGTCGAAAGTATTTTTAGAAGTGTGCAATATTTTGGAAATATATTTGAAATAGACTCTCTTTTTCCCTGCTTCATAAGGTTCTGTCTTTTTTCAATTAATAATTCAGAGGCGTGTTTTTTTGTTTTAACTGTCGAGTATCAAGCAATCAGTTATATTTAGATCAATGTTGCGTATCCGTTTATATTAATTAACGTTTTAGAGCGATAATGATAGTCGTGATTATTTTTACGCTTTATAGATATTTTCTTAGGAATTGCATGTTTCATTTCTTTTTATGCTAGATCGCGATTAATAAAAGTTATCACACGCAATCTCTGCAAACGCTTTTGGGGAGTTCGAAATACAGTTTCGTGCTTTGCAAAAAATAACAAAACCTTATAAAAAATATATATGTCACTTCGTGTTTTGTACAATTTATACGCACAGGGCATAGTCTTTTGTTGCGACACGTACAAAAGCAAAGGGTGGTGTCAAAACTTATTTAGATCTGCTCATGCGATTTTTAGTTAAATCTCTGAAGTAGTGCGCGAAATGTGGCAAAAGTCTGTTCGAAAAGTTTGGCTCGACATTTTTCAAAAACGCTCGTAGTTCGCAAATTATGCAACGTCTTACAACGCACATCGAAATATTGATTAATATGCTGGCAGATTTGACACATAGGTATTTTCCCAAAAAGTGTTTGATTATACATATCTCCGTGGTTAGCGCTAATATATGTAAAAATTTACATCGATGAGAGACCATAAGAAGATATATATAATAAATGTATATCACTATCTTTTTCAAGCCGGAACAATCGGTGCAATCCTGTCGCTCAATCAAATTCCACGTCACTTCCGCATTTCCGTGGCCACAAGATGACACTAATCGCTCAAACTCAAAGATACGATACGTTTTCGTATATATCCTAAGGAATATAAATTTGCCTGCCAGTGTTTGATAGAGAGTTTTCCAGGCGAAGGTTGCAGCGATTTCGCACCGTTGTTTGCGTGCACAGTGCAGCTAGATTGTGGATTTCACTTCTAGCTAGAATAGATTTCTTCAATCAGTTGTGTCCTTCGTGTTACCGGCTATTAATGTGACAATGCTTATTGTTAGAGAATATCGATTTCTTCGAGAAGAAAGCAATCTCTGCTTGTGTTGAATAATTTGTTTTCCGCTGCCAATTCAGGCTTGATTTAAAAAAACTCGTTTGACGCCAGAATATCTTGCAGATCGCTCGTTCCATTCGCAATCTTCCGCAAGCGTTCGCAAATTAACGGCCGGTATTGAATTTAGTCTTTACGCGCGTTTGATTGCCATAGCTGTTTAGTTTCTGCTGGATAATGCCGTCTCGCTCATACGAATGTTCCGTAATTCGCGAAACAAAACACTTCAGCAGGAAAGTTCTCAAAAAATCACAGATTTCTTTGCAAGAACTTTTCCGCTATGACATTTTGATTCGCGAATCACGGAACTCTCTGCGTAGATCCGCCGTAACTCAATTCGCATCGCTCTAGCTCGATCGCGGTGAAAATTGCGATTTCGTCGTTATTACTCGTTGTTATAGAAACGCGCGTGCCGGGCGCAGCCTGGCAACGCGTGTTCTCGATTCCCGTGAAAGCCAGTGCGACGAGGGATGCTCGCTCCTTCGCGCCCGGCGACGGCATTTCCTCCTCGAGAGGAAATCCGAGCGTTCGACGAACACGTCGTCACGAGCGATCAGATGGCGACGATCAACGACGATCCGGATCTCTGACTTACGCGAACCAACGAGAACCAGACGATATTTCGAAGAGGTACGTTATCGATCGCGATTGTATATACGTATACGTCGTGTATATGGAACGTATTTTTTTTTCTCACGGTATCTCCCGAGGGATAATTTACTGTTGCCGATCATAAACGCCAGGCATCCGACAACTCGCGTTTAATCGCGAAATTTATCCTACGTAAACTATAAATCGTATCTATTATTATTTTTCGTTTACTTAAATAACAGCTAACTACGGTAGCTTGGTGTTTCATTGTAATCGATTTTGATAATCAATAATTGCCGCTCACAGGCTTGCTACTCGCTAGTCCGACATATGCTCGCACGCTCACACGTCCTACAACTCGTAATAACGGATATACATATTAGAAAATCGATGCTTCACGCACGTACACCTGCAACATGTTACACACTATGAACGCTTAAGGAGCCCGCAGGCGATCAATATCTCTTGTCGCTGTTTCAGTATCGACGACGTGATTGAACGTGTCCAACGGCAAATAGCGCGCGCGCGAAAACAGAAATGTGTGTGGAAAAAAATTTCTGATCAAATCCGGGGACATTTTTCAAAATACATATCGGTGCTAATAATATTTTGTCACGAGGCACCGTGAGTGCAGAGCGTTAAAAAATCTAAAAATATTGGTAATATTTATTAATAAATAAATATCGATTGATATATATGCATATTTAAAAGCTGGCCGTATCAATAATAAATATTGAACGCCTGCGCAGCCCGTTAGAATCAATTGGATCTAGAAAAGGACGAAGTATATTCAATCTACGAATCTACCAACGAAAATACATACGTGTGATATCTACGATCGTCAACGATCGTGTGGCTAACAATTTAGTCGAGGGAAATCGACGCGTCACCGCGCTGAAACCTATAATCATCGCCGAGCCTCGCCTGCTGCTGATCACGATACATCGCGAGGGCGATCACGCGATCATAATAAATGCTCATAACTGGGGGGAGGGCGGGGGAGGATAAATGTAAAGGGATTGACGGGTGCAACAAAGTTATACAGGGCATTTAAAACCAAATAATATTAGAAAGTCAATATTCGTACGTATTTGTATTATACAAGGACTCCAAATTACCTGAGGAATCCGTCGTTAAGAGGTAACGCGGAGTGGCAGGATATACCCTGTATATATATATATATATAACCGTGTAATGCATTTTTACTAAATTGACATATCTTTCCTGGCGATACGGAACAACCTAGAATGCAGAATTTATGTTAATTCTTCAATGTATTTTCTTTCACAACACAAAATATATCCAAATATGAGAGACGAGAAGATGTATTCAAAAAGAAAAAAAAATGTATGACATAATACCATAATTCGCGGGAACGTGTCGTTCTCTTGGCAACGCAAAGTCACGCAATCGATTCGTTGATTATCGTCTCTTTTTCAACATCTACCCTGGAAAATAAAACTAGAATGTATAACGAAAAACGCCCAAACTGTGATCTCCCATATGGCTTATAAATATTTTTGCAATTTTGCATCATAGAGATCGAATCAGGATATTCTACGGGATATCGCATGCTATGAAGAATCCCCGTTTCCTTACCGCGTCTCACAATCACTTTTTTTGCCGTTTTCGTGTTTTTCTCGTCGTCGTCTCGAGATTCCACAACGCTACGATTTGGCACGAATCCGATGATAATAGATTTCCCGAATGCAAGATCTTTTCTCGGCGAGCCACAGGAAGAGATTCGCGTGTTTTGTTTGAGCTTCTTCGATCGATGTACTTTTATTATATTTTTAAACGTCCTTTTTAAATATTTTTCGCATTTAACTGCGACAGATAATTGTTTTTCTGATTAATGTGCAGTTCAATCTCGGATTGAACATTCGCGTGACAACGTCAGATTGCGTAACTCCGCTCAATCCTTGCCAGAGATCGACGCCAATTGTCGGTTCCGCGATTGCCGAAGTATCCTCGTCGTCGCAGAATCGTCGCATTTCTCCGCAGGATTGTCACAATTGAAGCCGGTGAAGCAGCGGTCACACGATGTTCCGCGTGCTGTTCTCGAAACGGCTGTGCCTCCGCAAAGTTCCGTTAATCGGCAAAGATAAGAAATCGCCTTGCATTGCGAAGGGACAAGATGTCGGGAAAGATCCGCTCTTCGATTTCACAGACTTAGACCTCGATTACTATTCTATGTCGCTAGGAGCCGTGTTTTCGCATTGCCCTGAAAAAGCCAAGTCAAAGTTTTCAAGCTAATAAAGATTGGATTGAGAAGAGAAATTCTTAAAAGTAGAATATGGAAAATCATAATTTTTATAACAAATTAATACATCGATATAAAAGTATGAAATAATTTAAATAAACTTGATTATAAATTTAATTTGATGCTCTCTTTTAATCGATAAAGTAATATTGGAATTTACAAAAATTACTTTAATTTTGTTCTCCAAAACAATTTTCGCTTAGAAGAAGTTTCGGAATTTCTCGAAAAATCTGCGGTTAAATCGACGTGTTCCATATATTTCCAAACTATTCCAATATTCTCCCATTTCACAAGAATCGAAAAATGCAGGCAGAGATGTGGTTATTACAAGAAAGAGAAAGAGAGAGAGAGAGAGAGAGAGAGACAGACAGAGCTTCATGAGAACCAGTGATCGGGTATCGGGAAATTTTTGAGCGCGACAACTTACCTTCAACAAAAGAGCGGCGCCTCCGGTTGGTTCCACCAGTGAGCGGCCAGGAGTAGATAGAGCTCCTGATCCTGGACGGTGTACCCAGGTGGCGGTTGGGAGGGCAAGGGTGGTGGGATAGGCGGTAGCAGGGAGTAGGACGGCGGCGGCGGCGACGGGGATAAGGACTGCGAGAACGTCGTCGTCGAGAGCGGCGTCGGCGGCGTCGCGGTGACCGCTGCTGGAGGCTCGTCCTTAGCCGGAGATCAAAGCGCGCAGTCGAACATCGCCAGCGACCGTGTAATCACGTCGTCCTGCGCAAAGATCGCGCGAGATTAACCGAAGAATTCTATAATTCTGTTGTCTGTTTTCTCTCGCGAAATTTAATTCATCAAAAACTCTTTATTTTCGCTGCTCAAATATTATATAACTTTGACTTTAATATTTTCGTTGATAAAAATGGAATTTTAAAATGACTGAAGAAAATAGTGAGAAATAGAATAGTTTATTCTATTATATTAATTTATCAAGTCTCTCGCAAAAGAAATTTTACTGATGCGCTGTGTATTGATCAATGCATTAAAAATATTTATTTAATATTCCTACACTTACACTACACTCCGATGCAAATTTACATTTTTTTTAATTTTATATTATTACACGAGCAGATGCAAATCGCATTTGTGAAACGCTCGCCCAACACAGCGAGTCATCTTGTTCATAATATTATTCCGTTATCGAGCACTGAATAAATTTACGCGAGCTCCGCGTAAACATCGATTAATCTTCAGCGTTCTTATTTTTTGTTCATCATGTTAGAGAACGGTAGGTGTTATATGCACTCTGCGAGTTTACACGCGCATTTATTATTGACCTGGTCCATACATTTCTAGTTGTAATTATAAAAACTAACGAAGGAACCTAATTACACGAGAATTTAATTTTAATGTTAATAATTCTGTCAAATGTATTTTCAAGATTATAAATATACGATGAAATCACATTGCCCGGCTTGATATAAAAGAACTGCATTACAACAGAAATGTAATCCGACTTAATTATGAAGGATGGAACATGAACAAATATTAATTTAGTTCTCGCAGAAAGAGAAAATAGTTTCAAGAAAAATAGTTTCTAGTTAATGAAACTATGGTTAAAGGGACACTCCCGGCAGAACTGGGACATATCGCAAGTCTTGAGGAACTTCATTTACAAAGTGAACGTATACAGAGTGTCTCAGATTCAACAAGACAGACCTGATTTTGTGTTTTTATAAATATAGAATAAAGTTACAGTATATCCAATTGAAAGACAAGCATGTCACACATATGTGATACGATTTAAAAAAATCATCAGTCATAAAGACTCGCAGAGTCCGTGAAATCGAAAGAGCACGGCAGTGGGCGACACCCTGTACATCTTCTATTCGATCGCTCGCAATTGTTTCACCGCCAGGTAGAACGTACCTTCAGACAACTCTCGATAAACTCCTCGATCGTGATAACGCCGTCCTGGTTGAGATCGAGTTTCTTGAAGACCCTGTCCAGCTGTTCCCGCGCCTTCCTCTCCTCCTCGGCGTGGCCGTGATGCTTCCTGCCCATGAGCTCGTGGACCGCCATCACAACCTCGCCCAATTCGCCCCGCGTAATACAGCCGTCGCCGTTTATGTCGTACAGCTTGAAAGTCCATCTCAATTTCTCGTAGATGCTGCCTCGCAGCAACGTCGACAGTGTCACGAGGAGGTCCTGCAATCCCCAGGATTGTCCAAGGTCGTTTACCGCCGCTCGCGATTATAATTCGACGGGTGGCGAAACGACTTCTTGTTGCGCGCGCGCGCGCTTTCCGAGCTATTGTTCCGATCAAATCTGGCCCGAGCTTTGAAATCGCTCATGATTGCGATATTTCGCAATTTAACGAATAACGAGAGATAATTTGAATGGAAATTGATTCAAAAAGAGACGAGAGATGGAAAGGCGCGGAAAACTAAATATTCTCCTAAAACGGATCTAAAAGGAAAAATTCATTAATATCGTCCGCCATAAAATCATCACAGATTTTTATCAAATTGCAGCAATAACTAAGGATAAAGAATAATATAAAATATATAATATAAAAAATATAACTAATAAATTTAATTAACAAGAATTGAAAGTGAATCGAAAAGTCGTTGGGATTATAATATCTTTTTAGCAAAATTAAATAAAGTTATTACTATGTCCGCACTTTTGCCAGTAATTATATCAATTTACGTAATTACAGAGAAATAGCTACAGTAATTTCTAAATGCAGTTATGCGCGTTAACTCACATTGTTGCAAGAAGAAGACGTCAACCGCAAAAAGCATCGGAGAGAGCGTTGGGGATTAATCAAATAAAATAGTTTCCACGTGTGCCAGCTTATTCGAGTTTAGGTCGCTGGCGCGATTACCGCACTGGACCACTGAAAGCTTTAATATCGCGCATCGATGCTCGCGCCAAGCTGCCTTCGGCCGCGATAGATTTTCATATGCCGCCGCGCAACACTCGCGAAATGACGAATGATCAGCCGATATAGCTTTGTGCGCGTATTTGCCTCGCGTGTCCGATGCATCTCGTTTATCGTAAAAACGATTAATTACTCGTTCGATAAGCAACGCGCTCAATTGACGCGAATTCCGCCTGTCAATCGGCGCGCTATTATCGCGAGACGCGAATGTGCATCGGCGCCCGCATAAATGCATTGCATTTGCGAGAGCACCGCTCGACACACACACCGAAATTTCCTACCGAAACTCGTCATCGAATCGCGACCCGCATTTCACTCGAATCACGACATCGATAGACGAACGAGATATAACCATGCGAACGCATTAAAATATGCAACGCCGTCTGAATTAGACACAAACATAATTGAATTAAATCCTAAATTATCGTTTAGCATGCAAAATTGATAGAGTATTTCATGTTGTAATCGAATAGTGCACCTTCATTATTTTGATCTAATTATTAATGAAGTTAAATGTCAATGTATGAGAGAAATTAAAAAAAAGGATATTTTTAATTAAATTGAGAATCATAAAAACTTCACTTTTGAATTTTCCATAATACATTAAAGTCTTACACCAACTTTTTCCACAAATAAAATATATACACTTCTTATTCGGCACAATAAATTAAATACACCGACAAATAAATAAAATATATATTTATGCAAATTTAATGTGAATGCAATAAATTACGAGTGACCGCTTTGCTTTTGAAATTATCGTCGCCAAGTGTGTGCAGACACGCTGTAGAAGATCTTTTTGCACAAAGAACAATGCGCCGTCATTCAAGACGAGAATACGCGCCGTTGAGCATATCGAGCTATTTAAAATAGATGAAAGAATTATGTTACACGAAAGACAGAAAGATTTAATTACCCTGAAGCTGATGGCCCCGTTGCAATTAACGTCGAAGGCCTTGAACACGTAGTGGGCGTAGAGACTGGAGTCTGCAATTCGCATGAGGGGTGGCCATTAACTAATTACGCAAAAACGCGGGCTGTTATTTAATTGGAACTCACTGCCGTGCGGGAAGAATTTCGCGTAAATGTCCTTGAACGAGTCCTCGTGTACTACTCCCTCGGGACACTCCTGGAAAGAGAGAGAAAAAAATGACCGTGGAAAATGATCGTGCTCTTTGAGCGTTTTATCAGAGCGAGGATTAAGCGTTGCCGCTATATATTTTATGCCATATGTGCGTTACATATGTACACCGCCAACCATTTTGTGGATAGCAAGTATACATGTATATATATCGGAAATGACTTTGCACCATTTGTTCCTCCATCAATAAGGCGCACGATGACATTTTTCGTATTACGCTTGAAATATTAGATCACACGAACGTGACACAGTTTTGCTAAAGCTAATCGCGCACGGGAAATATCTTCGATCCATATATTAGATAAGACGATTGACAGCTAATGCATTATTAATCATCAACGTAGAGACATTTCTCGTGAAGCAACAAAGTAATTTATATTTCATACTCTTGTAGAAATTGACATAAACAATGAGGATTCCGCACTCGATACCGAAGAACGTCGTGGCTGCTTACAGGTAAACTTACAGTAAAGTAGAATAAATGCGCTTTTATCTTCTTTGACTAGTCCTTGCACATTTATCTTGATTTTCGTGTGTGTATCGAGCTCTTCTAAATAAAATAAAATCGTACAGCTTTATCTGCAGCTCCACACAGCTTCGATAACGCGAAAAATATCCATAAATTGCGCTTCAGAAATGTGTAAGCACGAGGGACAACATATTTATTTTTTCCGCTCAATTTCGTCGGATAAAAATAATATTTTTCTTGCATCGCGTGTAATATGTAATGCAGTGATCTCTAAAATAAACAGCTTTACGATAAATATTACACAGGTATGAATAATACCGTATTCATCTAACAATATATATTTATCCTGGTAAATTGGTTCGCAGGTGCTCGCCGGAGACCTCGCTGCTCCCGCAGGAGCAAGGAAGAACGCTACGAGCGGAGGACGCCTCGTGGGACGACGACGTAATCCCCGATTTAAAGATTCTTGCGCTCCGCGTCCTAGTCTCGACGTGGAAGGATAATCCCGTTCTGCAGGAACTACCGACATGCGCTGACAGAGACGTGTTGCTGGAAACACTGCCGACGGATCTACCCTTCGAATTGACAATAACGCGAATCGAGGATGAGTTTTATTGGGAACGCGCGGCCAAGGACAGGTAAAACAATGCAATAACCCTCGATCGTGTGATAAAAACTATGTGTAATATATCGCGCGGACCAGCGGGACCATCGAAATTTATGCGATTTGTAACTGCAGATACAAATTATTTTGACCAAATAATAGTAGGTTTATTTGTACGTGTTCGATGTAAATTTAATCTTCTTTCCTAATCTCATATTTTTGTCGATTAACTTTAGCACAATTTAACTTTTTAAAAATTTATTTTAATTATTTTAGTGTCATTATTCACGAGCGATGTGTTTATTTATGAAAATGCAAGCAACTTTAAGTAAACAAACCGTAATAATAAATACATTTAAAATCATGATTAACTAGCATTTGCCAAAGTGATACTGCACACAAATGTAATTATAATTTCCACTGTCGCAGGTGGGAACACAACGATCCGAACGAACACGGCGGCTCATGGCGACGGTTATACTGCGAACGCCACTTAGCCGAATATTTGGAAACTTTGGAAGCGAGCTATTTCGAGTCTCAAAGAGAGGAATGCGAGAAATTAATAACTCTCGCGAAGAACCATGTACATGTCATACGACTGCGTTCTCTTGTGCTAACCAAGTAAGGCAAACATTAACTTTTTAGATCTTCAACTAGCTTTTATGCGCGAGAGAACGAGATAAATCAAGATAACGTGTATAAAAAATAAGTTTCTTGGTTTTTTTTTAAATCGATTATTCACGCATCAATTTAAGCTACGCAGAAGCTAGAATTTTACTTTGGCGATTTCATAAGACTTAATATTTTGAAACATAGCTTCATCTCTGCTGAAATATATATTCAACATCGAAACTAGATATCATAAATCTTTTCACAGATGATAAAAAACATTCAGCAAAAGGTTTATGATTTACAGCGATATCAAAATTATTACGAAACGTGAATTTCTTTATGAAACATCACGTAATACGTGATGTAGATTCGCATACATGTGCGCGGACCTTGCATCGCCACGCACACACGCCGCGCGAGATTCGTAGTATTTACGCGCCCGGCTGAGAACATCTGAAAATTATTCTTAGAGCCGGTCAGTTGTCGGCTAAAATTGTAAGTGCTTGCACTTGAAGATCCCGGAGTGCGATGGACTCCCGCGTAAATATCGCGCGAGAGCTTGGCGGCCGCGCTTCTATAATTGGCCGGAGTATCTAGGAGGCCAATTATAATCACGGACGCCGGAAGATCGCGCAAATAACCGAGTCGGCTCTTCCTTTCGCTGTGCCGTCATCATCGCGATATTATGCGCACGCCTGTAGCTTAGCAGCAACTTATTTCTTAGTTTTTTAATCTCCATTTTTGTTCTCCACAAGACGTTGCGTAACTCCGTTATATTAAATTCTAATATTCTAGCGTTTAAAATAAAATTACAAAAAATAGAATTTAAATTTAAAAGATAAATCCAAGTTAAATTTTAAGTTAAAGTTGAACTCTGGAGTTATTACACTTTATCTCCAAAGTACATATCGGGATTTACGATTTTACGATGCGAAATATGAGAACCTGTATGCCTTCGGCACCATTCTGTAGCTCAAGGCAGTATGAAAGATCAAACAAATTGCCCTGTCCCTCTCTTGACGGTGCCAATCGCTCTGTCCAAGATCTAATAGTACTTTCATTCACTGTCATGCTTTCGTATACGTTTATCAAACGCTTGAATATTCGTGACTAATTCGCTTCGAAAGAAATTCAATTGCTTGTTTGAAAAATCTGTACATCACGTACAGATTTTACTTCGCAAGCTCACAACTTTGTCCCACCATTCAGCGAAAAAGTTTGAACTAAACGCATAAACGCGGAATATTCAACAGCCGTAAAACATTATTTACCGAATAAAGTTGCGCGGAAAAAATTTTTTCGTATTTGCATCTCCGAAGCATAATTTGTTAGAATTTTTATCTTCGTCAAATCGCAGCATACAGAATGGAAATTCAAAATATGTTATGCATTTCTACGGTATGCTTAATAAAAGTTATAACGGAAACTATTCCAGTCAATCAAGATCTTTGCGCAGAAAACATTTTTGTCAAAAAATAAATATCAGCTTTCGTCGAGAAATATCGTAGCATAATTTGTTGGAACTTTTATCTTCGTCAAATCGCAGCATAGAGAATTGAAATTCAAGATATATTACGTATTTCTACGGTATCCTTAAATTTAACAGAAGTCTATTAAATTACAACGGAAACTATTCCAGTCAATCAAGATCTTTGGGCAGAAAACATTTTTGTCAAAAAATAAATATCAGCTTTCAAGAAATATTGCGCACCGTCTATTACCGAACACTTCGTTTACAACGTTTGCACAAAGCGGACCATTGAGAAGCACTTGTGCGAATCTGGTCGCGCCAAGTTCATCAAATCGTAACGGCAAACATACTCGCGAGCGAAATAAACTTGTTAATATGTTAAGGATTCTAATTATACACAAGCGAGCTACGGAATATACACAGCAGCAATTTGCCGCGGTCGTTGAGCAATTTTAGATCTCAAGCGGCGTAAATTTTCACGAAATTTCAAGAATCGTGGCCAACCTGATGTGTGTGACAAAATGTCAATTTGACAGTCAATTTTAGGTGGTTGGTTACGTTCGTGACAAAGTAGAAGTGGAAAACTATAGCGAGACAATGTAAAAGAAAGATCACCACCCCTTTGAATCTCATAGTTTCGTAATTATTAAAAATGTGAAGACTTCTCCGAATAATTATTAATACAAGAATTTATAAATAACTCTTTAATAGTTATAAAATGTGTCTGAAAAGCCTACCAATGTTTCGGAAAAGTCTTTTTCTATATTATTGAACTTTGAACATACAAAATTTTGCAATGTAGAGCATGGACATATGACTTGTAAGAAATTATTACCATCACTTCGCCATCACTCCAGTTTCATTCCATTCTCGGCAGTTAAGGCCATGTTATAAAATGTTGGTGAGAATGGGGACACAGTTTAAAAAGTACGGAGCAAATTTGCATAGTTAGAGCCGCAGAGTCGGCAAGGTGGATACAGTCTCTTATTGCCACTGTAATGAACTTGGGACAAGTAAATGCGAGCAGAATTCTACGATCGCATTTGCAAAACTAATCTCAGGCGGAATAAGTAAAATGATCTTCTTCGTCTTTTTTTTTTGTTAAAAAAGAAATTAATTAACTTTTTCCTGCAAAATTTGCACTGGTTCCGCATTATTAACGTGAAAAGAGCTAACGACGCAGTGATACAAACATTATGAAAACTTCATGGAATAAAATTTTTATTTCTCGAGCTCAATGCACGCTGTGCGTAGCATTCGTTCCCATAAAAAAATTCTTTCTTAAATAAAATAAAACAACAAATTCATTATTTTTCGAAAAAATAATTTAGTGTATTTAATGACAAAAATCGAAATAACCAAGCTTTGAAAGCAAATTAAAAATTAACTAGAAAATAATGCTAAGCTCAAAATGTTTATTTCTAGGCAGGATTAAAAATTAAGATATATTTAACGTTAACTGAAAATTCTAGTCACTTTAAACCCAATTTATTCCTGTTGTGTGTTTTTAAACATTTGCAATTCTAATTTAAAGCGCTGCAAAACTCTTAATAATAGATCTCTTTCCATAAACGTCTCTCTGCAACCCGGCATTATTGATAGTTACGAAAACTTTCTCATTACATACTCGCTTTACAAATAACACATGCGATTTTAATAAGCAAAGTTGTGAATCAACAAATTGTTATCCCATGAAAACAACCACTACAGATTTTAGTCTGAAAATTATCATCTCATTTAATTAGAGAAACTATGAGAAATCTCGAGGAATAATTTTCTTAGGACAAAATGCTTCCTTTCGGAATAATCCGTGAATTCACAGTAAGATTTATCTTCACCTTTATTCGGGCTACAGGTCTTTCTACCGCAAAATGGTCCGAACTTCACTGTATGAATTTAAAGTAATTTTAAAAGTTTTTTTTAGATTAATTTAAATACTTTAACAAAATAATTTAACAAAAATAAATATTAATTAATATTTCTTTAAAAATCAGTAATAATCAATAACACACAATTGAAAAGAAGAAAATTATCGCTTTTATTTATATGCATATTTATCAGCTCTTTTGTTCTTTAAAAGTGTTCTTTGAAACATTTTCTTTGTGAAACACAAAATAACGCGTTAGTAAATGTTTCGTGTTAATTAATATGCGCAAACGTGTCATCTTTTAATGCATTCACAGATTTATATTATCCGAAATTTCATTCCACATCAATCTAGTACATCCAACGTGTCTAGCAAAATATCGCATCCGTAAATGTAATTACATGCTGCGTTAATTAATATGCGCAAACGTATTATCTTCCAATGCACTCACCGATTTATTATTCGAAATTCCATTCCGCATCAATCTAGTACATCCAACGTATCTAGCGCATATCTGGCGGTTAATGTGGCCCGGCGTATACGCGTTCTTCAATTATTCACTGCAAGCCTATCGTGCGACTGGGCTTCCTCTATATATGCGATGCAGTTCGTGCAGTGTAATCCATCGACCAATATTGATCATAGCCCCGAGACTCACTTCAATATATTAACGACTCCAACTAATTTTTTGCATGCTCTCGATATTATGAGGATGCATTATATAATGTTTCGAGATTGAAATATTTTTTCCACATTAAAAAAGCTACTTTTTCGAATTCTTTGTATGACTTGTAGATTAAAGCAGAACTCATATGATATAAAAAAATCGGGATAAACATAAAAAAATACACATAAAGCTGGAATTAATAAAAAAATTATTCACAAAATAAAAGCTTTTAAGAACATTCTAATAAACTTTATCACATATCTTATGGTATCATTGATAAAAATAAATTTTTTTAAACTTTTATAATTCTCTTTACATTTTTTAAATTTAATTTATCACTAACATGATTAATTTTTGAAGAATATTGTTTTTTAATTATTCTTATTATATTAATTCAATAAGATCAATTAAGAAACCATTTGTTAATATATCTAAATTTTGCATATAATGATTAAAGAAAAATTATTTATTCATAATTATCCGAAAGTTTGCAACCAATTCTCGAGCAGACATATGATGATATAGGTATTCCAATTCTGTATTTCAAAGTTAAAAACAAAAAGTTTGAAATATGTGTCTGTTCTAGAATCTATTCCAAACTTTGAAATTATATGTCCGTTCTAAAAATGTGAGATTACACATCTGTTCGAAAATCGGTTGCGAACTTTTCGATAATTATGAATAACTCTTTTCATTAATTTCGGTGTAACTTGCAGAAAACAGGTAAAACGACCGAATGTGGAGAATAACGAAGCAACTTTCGAGGAAGACGTCGCGCATCATATTCCCATGGCAATTATATTATCGCAATTCCCGCATCTCGCCGAAATTTACCTCAACTTCGGTATGATCTATATGAACGATGGTTTTGAGTGGCGAGACTTCGAGTGAGTGAAAAGTTTAACGAAAGAGAGAGAGAGAAAGAGGATGAAGATGAATCCCCCATGAATGACAGATAACAGATTTATCGCTCAAACAGGTTCTCGTTGGAGGATTGCGAGAGTCTGGGAGCAGGAATTAAAACCAGTCCAAAATTGCGAAAATTTAGTTTAACTCGCAGCAATTTGGATCGGCCTCGAGTCGCCGCTATTCTTCAAGGGATGGCACTAAATGACAATGTTAGTGAGTAATTTCGTCATGCAAGCAATAGCTGCGTCATTGTCAATCAAGAATTGAAAGTATAACATTGCTCAAAATTAAAGTCGTGACTGCAAATTTTATCGGTTGCAATATTTTCTCATTATGACGATAAAATACGAAAAAGTAGTAAAAAAATATCTACATCTAAATGATATTAGTTGCCGCTGATAAATAATATCTAAAAAGTAGCGCAGTTGTAACTTCTGGCGATTTTTAATCGGAAATTTTATTTAACTCAATTACCACACGATTCACGCAACGCTGTTTCGATTATCTCGGTTTGCAGATTGAGGAATTGGATCTGTCACATTGCAAGTTGATGGACACCGGTGCGCACGCGGTGGGCGAATTTCTGTCAATGCATCGGAAATTGCAGATTCTGCATTTGGCGAACAATAGCATAGGACCAGATGGAGCGGCCGGCCTCGTTCATGGAATATTGAAAGCGAGCTCAACTGCTCTAAAAAATTTAGATCTCAGACTGAACCCTCTGCAAGATGAGGGGGCTAATCATATATGTGCACGTAAGTCTAAAAGTTTCCTTCTCTTTCGGGAATATCAAAGATACGGAATATCTGAGATGAGCAGAAACGGAATTCAAAATTTTTCTCCAACTATGTTTAAACTAGAAATAAAAATAGCATTTTAAACAATTTTATTTTCTCCATGCACTAACACTGTTAACTTTTCTCATTACGAAAAAATAAAATTTTACTTGAACATCCTCCATTTTATATTCAATCGTACGATGCAATATTTTAAAATATATTCAACGAAGAAAAAAATAACGTAAGAAAAATATTTCGATTAAAATTTTTAAAATTACATAGTCTTAAAACTTTAGATAAAAGTAACTGTGTGTTAAAGAAAAGCAGGTGTACCTAACTCGCTGTTCAGTTAGAGGATCAGTTAGCTTCGCGATAAAAAGATCGACGAGTTTTTAAAAAGAAGTGTTTAAAAGGAAGACTTTGGAAACTTTTTTCCCCTCAAGCATAAATATTGTAATTTCGCAGTAAGCATAAATACATTAAAACTCACTGCCAAATTATATCTTTTAACTTATAAGCTGTTAAGACAAATCTCTCTCTTGTAACTTTCGAGCTTCGCTTTTCGCAAAATTCAGAAATATTTGTGCGCAATAAAAAATTCAGTATTAAATATTACAAAAATAAATCGATGTTTTTATACAATATAATATGGCTTTAGCTTTATTTTAATATAATTCGTTAAAAAAATATTTATAACAAATAAGGATTTCAATCGCGAGTTACAATTTTAACCTGCAGTCAATGTCAGTAATGCAATGTTCGATTAAAAATCTAATTTCTAATAAAATAATCTTTTCACGAGTAAAGTAGCGATAAATATAAATAATAATGTACGCAAATATATCAAAATTTCATAAACAATTCTATCTCTTTAGTCTGGAATATCGAATTGGATGATTCTTTTGTTTGTTTGAAATCACAACGCTGCACCGAACGTTATTCAGTGATGTTTTCTGCTTGAAATTTAATGCCCGAGTAATATAAAGCTTGCCGGGGCAAATTGAAATTTAATGTTGCGTGTAGTGCTGCTTTAGCGTGGACACTAGTGTATGGATGCATTTCATTCGGCGAATAATGAAAATTTCACGAACTTGGAATTCCAGCGCAATGTATATAATTCTTTCTCTTTTGAAAGGCTAATAAAAGTAATGATAATAAATTTATTAAAATATATATATGTATACGGAGAGATCAATGATAAAATTGCATTTTAAAATTCTATATCTTCTGCATTCCTAAATATAATTTTCATTCATTTCAATAAAATAGACGCTAAAGTGGATATTTTAATTATTTCGAAGAAAAAAAAAGAAAATGCATGTTCTATGCATTTTTAAATATCTTTATCAAGTTCCTCTGAAAGATTAATAATGTTTCACGTGCGAGAAGTATGGAGTGTTTAAAAATACGCTAAAGAGCTTAAAATATAAATTACCTCGAATTTTACTTCGGAAATATCGCGGATCGTGCATTGCGCGATAAATTAAAAATACCGTTTGATTCCGCTGCAAGTAGTGCTTAATGTCGATTTAAGAAAAAGAACTGAATATACAATACCACACAATTTCCCGAACATTAGCATAACGTAATCGACTTACAAGTCGAAAGTGTGGCATAAGCGACATGCTGAATTATTTAAATAAATGCAAGTTGAATAGCAAATCGCGGCATGCACGTGCATACAAATCGCATGTTACGGCACGCGCGGAACGTGACTGAAACTCTCATTATATATAAAAATGCATGAAAGGGCAATAACATCCACTATTACGGGTAGGAAATCACCGCCGCAATTTCTTCGAAATTTGTTCTTGGATATATGTATCGTATATCTCATTATGAAAATAATAACTTTGCATTTATGATGGAGAATTTCCATAAAATATGTTGTTGACATTTTAGCTTAATCATTTTTTTAAATTTTATTATAGCTTCGCTTAACGTGCTTGCATTAGCGAAAAATAAAACAGCTGAACGGGAAGTATTAAATATAATGTAAAAAAACCGTATTTTTTTTCGTGCAAAATATAATTTAATAAATAAATAGTGATCCAAATAGTCTTTCTTATATTTTTTACATATTATTTATGCTATGTGTTTATGTCACTTGTACTAAATTTTTTGTAAAATAAGAGATATTTATTTATATGAAAAATTTTGTGAAAATCTGTATAATTTTTAGTTCTGGTGAGAAACGAAACTTTGGAAACATTGAACATCAGCGGCTGTGGATTAGGACCGGAAGCTGGTATAGCGCTTGCCGAAGTTCTCTCTTGCGTAAAACTCGAGATGTTATCTCTCGATGTATCTAACAATGATTTTGGACTAACCGGTACGTACATGATAAATCGTTTTGTTCTATATAAAATCTACTTTTTTTCGTAAATGTTATTTTAATAGCAACACAATTCAATAAAAAATTTTTGAAAAGCTTGCAAAGTCGTATGAAGTAATCGAAATAATCAGACACATACGCGCGCGCATGCAAATGAAAAAATATTTATAAACTCTACAAAAGTATATTTTATTTAATTAGAAGTGCATTAATGCAGCTAATTTAATAAAAATTAGAAGACAATTAGAAAGTTGCGCGCGTTTATCAAATAATCATTTAAAACTCGTTAAGAAATAGCTATAAATTTTATTGCTAGAAGATCATTGCGCCATTATCTCGATAGTTTCGATTGCCCATTTGACACGCGATCTAACACGTCTAACGAACCGATGCGCTCCTGAAAGATTTTTCCTTTACGAAAAAAGTGGCAATAAAATTTGTTCCAGCTGGAGAGTCATTCGAGGCGGCTGTGGGGTCTTGCTCGTACATTATCCATTTGGACGGTCGAATGTGCAATTTCGCGAAAGAATCGGAGTACTCGATCAATGAGAACGCGCGCAGGTGAGAGACCCATGATCATCGAGGGTGAAGTAAACGTTCCATTTGATAAAATTCATTGAATTGTGCGAGCGACCGTTTCTTCCGATAGAGCTGTTTGCTTTTATTTTGTGGCCGCAATTCCCATTTCTACGCACGTACGCGCACGAGATAGTATTACAAATTTAATAAACCCTAAGAGACCGAAATAACCGAAAGGTTGCAGGTACGCAGCCTGCTGCAGATCTATAAATTTTCACCGTATTCGGAAATAGACCGTCGCAGAGGGAATACACGATTTTGGTGCGTCCGTAATATTATTTTTCAAATATTTCCGTTAAATTTTCGAAATCATTAATTCACAGTTTCTTGTAAAATGTCTCAAATTTACTAATTAATCAACGTTTATCATCTTACTTTTGCGCACGATATATTATTTCTGTATTATTTTGTTAGTAATTTTTGTTTCAACGCTCCCGACTCCGTTGCACTTAATGTGTTATCTCTTATCTCAGCCTATCTCAGCGGAAGCAGGCGATGACAATCCCTCCGATAGTTCCGATTTCCTCCTCAAGTCTACGTCGTCTTGAGATAGCCATCGCTTTCTCCAGGTCGTTTGCGGACTGTGTTTGCAAACGTCATTACGTCCGAAAGGGCAACACGACGCTCGCCGCCAGAATGGACCGGGTCGTCGCTTCGGGTGCAAGCACAGTTTCCGACGGCGAAGGCGATGAATCTTACCCGTGCTTGGCAAAATGCCCAGTCGTTCGCCAAGAGATAACTCTTTTTTTTTAATATGTCGTATCCTCTGAAGGAGCATTGTTAATTCATACCGCATTAAATCGCAATCGATTCATAGCCGTGTAATCGCGCAAGATCTGCGGGAGATCGTCCGGCGGCAGAAGTTCCTTTTGGCACGCCGTTGAACTTGTGTGTTGCGCGCTGTTAACACGCTAATTTAACCAATCGATTTATCCGGTTTCCCTTCCTTTTTTTTATTTTTTTTCTCTCTTTTTTTCAAAGAGCACACACGCGGTTTCCCCTCTATTATCACGCGGATCTCCCGTCGATCACACTTTTCCGTGCACCTTTGACCTATTGACGCCGTTGCTCGCACGCCGCGTATAAATGTATCAAGGATTTTCACTCGTGAACACATCTTGGCGCAATTCTGAGGGCCGATTGCACATGAGATGCGTAGCTCTATGCATCCACGGTAATAATCCTCGTCGGTTGCCAGCAGAAACAAAGATACATTGCGTATATTAGCAATTCAATATCAGAAGAGTCGAAGTTTATCTCTCCAAAGATAATAGCGTACACATTTCTCATCCTGATAAATTGAAACACAAAATATTCTCCCTTTTCCGGCACATGATTTTCTATCACGTCTTAAGTTTCATTTATATTATTTTATAAATCTGATAGATCTATAAAGAGTAATCAAGAATTACAAATAAGAAATATAATTTGCTGTAAAGAATCATGTTTCTTTTCGTACTGTAAAACAGCTGAACAGGTTATATTGTTATATTATTGTCGAAATCGTATTTCGACCTATTGTACTTCCACTTCCACAATCGCGAAACCGTGTGTCTTCGATGCAATACGCACGTTTATCTGTTATCGACCATACTTCCCAATTTATTTTATCGGGATGAGTTATTGCTTCGCGGCCGCCGTTATAAACCACATGCCACGTTTACGCAGGAATAAACAAAATATGAAAAAGGAGAAGAGCAAAATAGCGTTTTGCCGAAGAAACAGTGTCGATAATTCATCTAGTGCCAAGAGTTTGCAACAACAGTCGGAAGTTGGATCGTCATTCCCCGAGCCAAAGGGTATTGTGAATCGCTTTACAGGCGAACAAATCGATGTTGGTAAGAGTTGCTGTACCACTTTCTTCTACAAGTTATCCTGACTTGATCTTCATATGAAATATGAACCGCAACGTAGAATGTCAAAATATTCACAACCCGCTTTTTACATCTTTTTAGTTAAACATTGAATTCTCCTGGCAAAAAGCCATAAATTTTTACAAAGAAAACTCAATGAATAGAATAAACCTATTTATTTATGTCAAAAAAATAATGTAGATATTTTTATCTATTTTATTTCTATTAATTATATTATAAAAAATTTATAGTAATATTCAAATGCAATTTGGTTCAAATTTCAATTTAAAGAACTCGATTCCGTATTTTTTCAGTCTATATTGATGCGCGAAAATGTATTCCGGGACGTGATCCAAATGCTACATTAAATTTAATTAATCATGGAATTGCAGGCGAGCAGGAGATGATGAAATCAATTTTGAAAGCTCGGCGTATAAAGTAGTTCTATCTACTGAGAGGAGGAGTTCTCTTCTGTGGTCATGGAAAATTTAAAACGCCGTTTGGCAGCGACGCATCCAGAGAAGCACACCGGTGCTTATCCTAGCGGAGTTTTCAAATAAAATGATAAAATAATAAAATGATCTCTACACAAGCTCTGAGGAATACTGTCAACCTTTTTTTTTCAATTTCAATAAAATACTTTTAACAAGCACGTATTATGAGTTTCTACTTCACGTGTTAGAATAACAATCATCCACGTGTAGATTAAACCGATTGGAAATTTAGCAAACGTGACGATAACGCGAGCATCATGATGTGCGGTAAGTACGTGATGTGACGCGGCGTGCGTAACACGAACTTCTGTGATAATAACGTATCCTTTATTACGCGTATGTGGCGAAGATTGCATTGTGAAGCGAAATCAGCAGTGCTGCCGGACTATCCTGAATAATATCTATGTCGTTATTGTACGGAGTTGCAATAACAATTTCTGCGCTGTACGTGTCTTCCGAAGAACGAGCGCTCGTATGAACAATCGGACCCGGTTACGTGTATACGCGCGTGATAAATGACTAGCCGGAAAAATAGTGCTACAAAGTTGCGAAGTGCGGACAATGAAATTTGCATTAAATCGTATGCAATCGTATTCAATCAAACCTGCAGAGGCTATCGTAAAATGTTGTAAATAATCAGAACTGTGTAGAAAATTTGAAAATGTCAAATCGCGAGAACACTCGTGATGTTCGTATCATGTAATTAAAATATTATTTAAATTACTCTGCGTTGAACCAGTTGTCTATTCATTTATCACTTATGCAACAAGCACATCTTTTTATTTCTGCAATGACTCGAGTTGTTCAAAAATCTTCTTACGAAGACTCGTAAAATTTCAAAATTCGCTAAAACATCACTCTTGTATTAACAATATTGATTTCAATTTGCTATACTAATGAATAGTATATTTCATCCAAATCAGATAAATTGTGTGTTTTTCCGAAGATAAAACGGAAAGTCCCTACGGTGACTTTTAAACAATTCTGAAAACGGAGTGCGAGCGCACCAGATAGTTAAAACGTAACGGTGTTCCGGTTCAAGTAAAGTTCGCGCGAATCCAGTCCGAATCAATATTAGCAGACATTCGTTGCAAGCTGCGGCTTTTATTTTCGATCTCCAACGCAGCGAGAAAAAAAAATTGAAGTTTTCTCTGTCGTATATATATATATCCTTTTGCTATTCCTCTTCCGCCCAATCGGACCCTTTTTCCACTTATATAAAGGTGGAGAATGTATATGTGATACGCGTGTGTATGTAAATATATATATATATGTGGCGTATATACTCGCGGATGAGTGATCTCGTCTAACTTGATACGGCCCAGTTGTCGCCGTAAGCCGTAGGGCGTATCGAATCTCGCGAATCAAAGATGCTATTGATCGCTACACATTCCGATCTCCATTCTCCACGATTATAGACCCGTTCAACCCCAATACAATTTTTTTTCCTTTTTGCTCCGTACATCAAATCATAATTGAATCTCCATACATGGTGAACCGTTTCGTAAAAATTGGCTTAAAAGCCTCGATTTTTCTCTCGGTGTTTAAATAATACACGATGTGTTCAATAAGTTCCCGTATTATTTCAAATAATTTTTATTTATATATTAGTTTTCAACACACATCTCTTCCTTCTCTACACAAAATTTTAATCGGTGCTGGAAAGTTTGTTCAAAGTTGTTGCGAAATACAATTGAGCCTCGACACTTCTGCTTGAATGTCGAAACACTATCATGTCACTTTTCATTGCCGTTTGGAAAATAGAAAACGCTTCCGCCGTACTCGCCGGATTTCGCTTTTACGTTAGATTTTTTTTGTTTCTCGAATTGAAAATAGCCATGGAGGTGAAGCGATACAACAGTGCTTCGGAGGGAACAGATATATGCTGAAAACTAACATAAATAAAAATGTTATCTAAAAAATTCAAGCTTTTATTGAAATGGTCAGCAAACTTATTTATTGTCTAAATAAATAAGTGCAAACGAAAAAAAAATATTTAAAATTCAGATTAAATATATTTAAAAAAATAAGGTTTCTAATTACAAAAGTCGGTATTTTTTTAAGCAGTTCAAAACATTTTGATGTCATCTGCTCTTGCTGATAAAGCGAGTTCATTAAAAAATCTGCCATTATAAGATCGAGGTGTGTTGCGAGAATACTCTGTGCAAAAGCCATCCAATAAAATAATTTTACACACTGGAACGGATGTTATTCTCTTTCATATAAATAAGTTCTACTGTCTGACCCGATGGTAACAAGTGGGCGGTTGCATGTACTCTCGTGTAGTCGATATCGCGCGCCCGCATACAAAATAGTATTTAAAGCGCGGCCTCGCGCGCCTAGCTCTTCGGCACAGTATATCATGTATATTTCACAAACCCGAAAATAAAGTTTCTGTCGTGGATACTCTTCTCCCGGGACGCGCAAGTGCTATCCCCGCTAGTATTCCAGAAATCTTCTCGGTTTATGTTTCCGCGACCTTGCGGCCTCCGGTTCCAGGCAATCTGGCCGAGATACAGAAGCGTCTGGGGAAATACGTTGTTTAAACAACTGCAAGCAATCGAAAATCTTCTTGTCCGTCTCTCGGGGAAACGACGGACTCTCGATATCCAGGCTCTCAGTCGATTTTGGTTCTTTGTATTTACTAATTAAAGCTGTACGCGGAAATTTGTGCGATTTCCACAGATTTTCTCTATACTTATTGACTGACAACTTCAGCCGACTTCTCTCGGCGAGATGTACTTTAGACACGTTTCTTTCATTTACAAACTTCACCATTACATTTGTATTGAAAATTGTAATTATATTCGTATTGAAATGCATCATGTTGGCTAACGAGTTTTAGTGGAATTTGCATGCGAAGGGCATGTACGCGCCGACTAAAATTAAACGTGTAGTGGCAGCGTCAATCCGACCTTTGGCAAACAAGCTGCTCTAACATAAGCGCTTGAGAACCGACGAAAACGCGCGATAAAATTTCTTATCGCCGCCGAAAGACGCCAGGTAATATTCGCGCGCAGTGATGTCATACACGAGAATTGTTAGTGGAGAGTTTCACGACGTCGACTGATGCGGAGCTCCGCGGTAATTGCGAATTTATCGTGGCTGTGCATGTAACGGAAAATGATATGTACAGATGCATGTACTCGCGAGTGTGTATACACATAGTTAATAGCCGGTAAAGCCACAAATTTAACAGAACTTGCATAACTACCGCATCTCGAACGGCCGTTTTACGTGGAATCGATACGCTCTAAAAGTCCGGTGTGGCTTCTTCGCGTGCCGATGCTATCGACATTTTACGGTGACGATTAACTCTGCATTATTTTCATATGTCGTGTAAAATTCGTAGACAACACAATTTCGAGTGATAGCTAAATCTATCTTGTACAAGACAGTCTGTCTTGTTACTAATGTAAAACGGAAATTGAAGCCGCACGAGATATCATGCTGATAACTTTTGTTTTCAGTTCAGACGCTACGAACACGCCAAAATGATCTCGATAACTCGTTATCACTCGTAGAATATAAAATCCTCTTAAAAAAGGGAAATATAATTTTGAAAATGCACTAATTGTTTTTTTTTATATTATGTCTTCAAGTATTAAGTATTTGATTTCATGTTACTAAACCTTTTTGTTAAATAAAATTAAATTTTATGGACTCGTTTAAATTTACGTTAATTAATATCAGCAATAAAATTGATTTTTTTAATTTAATCTCAATGCAACATGCTACTATTTTGGAGTCTCAGCGTATCATATTGCATTTGCATGTGCACCCAGTTGCTTCAACTTTATACGTTCCTGGTTGGAGAAATGAGTTCATCGACTTTGGGGTGCACGAAAGAGTGAGGTGAGGTATACGTTGCTATCTTTGTGTTCTCTCAATAATCGTGCAACACAAAATTCACCGAGAGCTTTCCTAGTGCAAACCATAACTATTTAATTTATATGAGAATTTTGTGAACACTAGCATTGTATCTCTGATATTTTACGATATATAAAAAATTATTAGTTACAAAATAGTTATGCGCAAACATTAGTTAGTATAAACTTAATATTTTATGTACAATCATAAAGTACGCGAGTGGCAAAGTTGCAGAAACAAAAATTTTAAATCAAGAAAATCGTCATTTTGCACAAAATTATGATTCCAAAAGACTCAAATTCTCATATTTACTTACATGCAAATAATGACAATTGCTGGCGCAACAAGTAAGCTATTAAAAATATTAATATGATAAATGCTTAATTAAAATATTAATCCACGAAAATATCCATTATACGATATTGTTACATCTGCGACAATGCTAAAAAATATTGTGTATGCCAATTCATATCAAGGTGCACTGATAAGCGGCGAGCAGCATCCATTGCTCATCGGCTGGATGCCTCACCGCGTCGTGGAGAAAGTGGAAGAAAGTAAAACGTGTCCGGCGTGAACACGGCCGACATACGGCGGACAGCCACCACTCGCCTAAATAAATATCGGAGCGAAGCCGCTGCTGAATGAACGGCTAAGGTTGAGTCTGTCGCTTGTGTGATCGAAGGACAAGCGTATCATCACAAGCCGCTGGTGGGGCACGTCAGTGACGTCACGGGCGGAGGAGAGGAGAGATCGATACAGCCTCAGCATCCACCCTCTCCCTCTCTGTGTGTCTGCTTCTTCCTCTCCTTTACTAATCTTGTCCTTTCTATCTACACCCATCCTTTTCTCTCTTCCTGTCTCTTTCTCTCCCCCAGCCCCCCCTAAACAAAAATATTTTCTACTTCTCTTTTTTATCCTTCCTCACCTTTTCACACAATTCGCTCCATTCTCTTGTCTCTCTTTAACTTCCTCTCTATGTCTTATCTTTTATTGTGACTGTTTTTTCATGGCCTCTTCGACTACTGTTTTCGTCTCAACAGGCTGTCTTCAGGCCAGTCACTGTTTTTCTTTCTAATTTCTAAGCCGCCCTGCGAGCTTCGTGCTTGTGAAGGATGGTATATCCAACATACTGTCGCTCTCTCTTTCTCTCTCTCTCTCTCTCTCTCTCTCTCTCTCTCTCTCTCTCTCTCTCTCTCTCTCTCTCTCTCTCTC